ATTCCTGCTCTCCATGCTGGCACTCAAAAATATACTTCTGCTTATCAGGCTTCTCCTGGTGGTGCAAATGCAACAGAGTCAGTTAAAAAAAGGTTAAAAGAAAAATGTAATGGATTATCCCTTTCTTGCCACTAAATTTAAAGGGAGATCCACTCCATTGGTTTTATATGGGATTTTTTTTCTTGTATTGAATTTCAGAAAAAAAAATCACCAAATTTCTTCTTCAGACAACACCCACTAACCACTCCATAATTTATAAAGGAACTACACTACTGATGTATACCCAAGGTGCTTGGTTCCCTGCTTACCTGTGCATTGCCAAAGGGCACCAAAGTAACAGTCATGATGTCGCTGAGCAAGACCCAGGTGGGGAAGAGCACCAGACTGAGAAACTGTCTGCAGCCAGGACACAAACTCTCATAGTAAAGCCCCACCTGGACTGGATCTGCTTTCTGATGGAACCTGGTGAAGTTAGACTCCAGGCACTGTTTCAATACCTGCAGAAATAAGCAGAAGTGAGAAGGTTTCTGCTCAGGGTCAAAGGTACATTTTTTTTTTTTTTATATTCTTGTGAAATTCAGTTGAGAGTTTGGTGGCAGCCTTACTGTACTACTTTAAATGACAATAAATAAATAAAAGTTGTTCAAAACATGCAAAGGAAATGACTGGTACTTTAACTTGTACCACATTGAATTAAACTTACCTGAATCTAGTGTGTTTTAGGTTTGTGTGTGTGCGCGTGCGTGGGGACTTTTTTTCCCTTCCTCCTTCGCTGAGTTTTTCATGCTTCTTAAGTAGGAAGCATATAAATATAACCTCTAAGGCAAAATACCGTCAGCGGACAAGCTCATTTGCATATCAGTTTCTCAATTTAATTGACAGTTAATATACGATAATGTAACATCGGTTGACGTTAAAATGTTATCAAAATTGTAGTCAAAGCTGAATGGGGAAAAAAATAACACCGCTATTATTGGTATTAAAAGAAATACTATTAATTTGTACCTTGGCTACTTACAGCATACTCAAGGAGAAGCTGCAACTGTTAGTCAAGTGCCCAAGTGTTGGGAACTTTGTGTACAGAGTTTCACCGGTGAATTAGCTAGCAGCAGGCTAACCTTACCTCATAACGTAGCCTCGAGTTGAAGCCTGTTCCTACTGTTATATTTATTGCAGTGATTTAGAACAGTGGTTAAACTGCTCACCGGAACTAGCTAAATTTGAGGTCTCGTGTGGTTTTAACAGAGGACCGCCATTCAAAAATATAAGTCTGATAAAATGATACAATGTCTAAAATCCTATGACATCAGTGAACTTACTCCGCACTGGACAGCTGAGTCTAGAGATGAGCACCACTTTGACGGAGGGTAGGAGCACGAAGAGGAGAAAGTGCAGCCACCGTAGTGAACGTTTAACCAGGCAGTCAAAATCAGAAGCAGAAGAGTCTTCATCACGCAAAGTTTTACTTTGACAGTAAAATATAAAAATAAAACCAAACTTGGCAGCACAGCAAACCTTACTGACAAAGCGCTGTGTCGCCAACTTTAAATACACCGACGTTTCCGTGTAAAGGCTACCTATTTTTTGATTGGCTCTCGATCATATGACCACGACAGCGTCACCTGTAACTAGCAGGGATCTGACCTTGGGGCTGCTGTTTTTTGGGAAGTGCTATTCGTTATTTTTCTACTTGTCTCTCAAAGAAAATTAAGTTTTATGCAGGCAATAAAAAAAACTACTGTTTGACAAATTTGGTTATGCATTCTATAATTAATAACTGGACAATTCATTCTTTTTATCATTAAAGCCTTGTGTTACTTGGATTACTCTTAACATCTGATGCTTTGTATGTCGGAATACAGGAAAGGGTAGACTGAGTTTGATGAATTACACCTAAACCACACTTGCCATGTACTGTATACAGTGAGGTTAAAAGGTTCCTCACCTTTCATGCATAGATTAGGAATGAGAAAAGTGAAAATATCTCAAAGAGGAATTGCAGTCCTATGATTAGTTTACTCAGTATATTGTTCATCTTATTTGTGAAACGGTCTAATTGGCATTATTTAAGCACATCATCTGGCTCATTAAAAACAATGACATGTCTCATCTTAGTTTCTGAGTCCATAGGTCAGTTGTATGCTGATTTATTCAAAGGATCACAGGTAAAATTAACATTACACGCTCAGGTATCTTGCACCTCCAAACTGCTCGCAGGCAGATGTAAGATGAAAGACCCTGAACCCACCAGGCCTATACATTATATCCCTTCGGTTGGGCTAGCCCCATACTACACAGAAACGTCAACCGAGACGTCTCTGTTACCAGCTTTGCAGCTGGTCATAGCAGTAGTCAAAACATGAAGCAAATCAATGTGTGTGTGTCTGTTGGTTAAGTGGTGTGTAGCTAAAAACATTCTCACATGACCTCTAGTGACATGTCATGACATTAAACATAGGAAATTAACAGGTCTATGACTCACAAAACACACACTGCAGCAAAACAGCACAACCCTTGACTGTTATAAAATATTTTACCTGGTGATTCTCACATGATCTCTCACAGCTTTTCTTTAAAACCAGAACAGAGAGACAACATAGTAGACAGGACACAACATAACTCAGCATTACTCACTGCTTCTGCTTCATGTGGTTTGTCTTGGAGTGTAACCGATTAAACTGAAGGATCATACAGAAAGTCATTTTTACTGTCGGTTTTTGTGCTCAGGATGAACAGCAATTAACCTGGGTTACTTTTATATTTGTGTGCCATTGCTACATTTACCTACATTGTGCAGAAACATGGGTTATCAGTCATAAACATATTTTCTTTTGCCATCCAGCATCTAAACATCCATTTGGTTTTATTTAACTCGCATAAGATTTATGTTTTCACCCCAATACAATGGAAATGACTGGTACTTTCTTGCAACATTGAAGAATTAGGCTATATTTTAAAAGAGGAAGCTGCATTATTGTGTTCTAGGAAAATAAAAGGTTCTCTGGTTATATGACTGACTTCACTGGGAACAGTAGTTACTACTACAAAACCACCACCACTAATAGTAATAATGATAACATTAGTAATGATTATTTGAGTAATTTGAGTGAACCAACCCCTAAGCCGAACAATAGAGTAACCCATGTGTGATTTTATTTATGTCTCATGGTAAAATAAATTGTAAATAAGTGATCAATATCTGGATATCTTTTTATGGCATGTTTTACTTTTTGCCCGTACAAAAAAAAAAAAGAAGACATTTCACTAAGTGCAACAAAGAGATGCCAACATGTTTGAGCCCAGCAAAGTCAGCAGGAGTATAACTTGGGCAACAGTAAATGCAATATGTACTGTGTGCGTGTGACAAGATTAGCTCAAAATTATAAAGACCAAACAAACAAACAGGACAACACACATTTCATTTTTTGTCTTTTATTGTCTTTTAAAATCACTGCATCAGCCTAAAGAACCGTACAGATGAAAGAGTACCTGTCTGAGGACAAACACGTCTAAAGCAAGCTGTACATGAGAAAGAAACGTCACACCTGATTTAAGACGGATCGAGGGGAGATAACAAAGGAGAAGAGAAGAAAAAGAACCATCTTTTTTGTGCATAGGGCTTGGGCACAACAGTGCTCCCTCGGAGTTCAATTGCACTTTGGTGTAGAGTAGCTTTATTTGACTGTCCCACTCATTTCCATTTACTGTTTTTGAAGAAAAAAAAAACATCATTATTAAAACTACAGTATGCAACTTTTTTCAAATATTTTTGCTGTAGATATCTGGTGCTGTCAAAGCCTCCTGTGACCCAGACTCATTGAACAGCTCTGGCAGCAGTGCAGAGACATTAGCTTCTAAAAGGTTTTGAGTGGGATTGACCTCTCTAACCAATCAGAGATTTTCTATTATTTCTGTTTGGTCTGTAAGTGTTGTTGGATTCTCATTTATTGAAATTTCATAATGGCAAATATCTGAAGAGTTGAGCAGAACGTGACAGAGCGTAGCAGATCGCAATAGAGCATAGTGGAGCAGGGAGAGGGAGTGCTGGGTCAAGCAGAGTGGACTGATTTGGAGTTTCATGCTTTTGCTACCTTAAGTTACATAATGTAACTTTAACTATGCCTTAAGACAATATATCTGTTGCTGCTGTCATGGCAGCGATACGTCAGACAACTTGTTGTGCAACACTGTAGAGCAATGGCTGTTGTAGTTAGTTTTTAAATTGTTGCTGCTCTCCAAAGTTGCCCAAATCATTGCTAAATGGATCACTGCTAATCTCACCTCCAACATGTAGAGTTGGGTCTTGAATATGAACTACTATACACCAGTGAAAAATATTACACAACACTGACAATATTCAAACAAAGGGCAAACTTTCAGGTCCAGACTGAGAAGTGATGATGTGAGACGATAAAGGTAGAAAAGGGGGGAAATGAAAGTGCAGCTGTTCATCGTAGTTCATGGGGAAACCACACACACAAGCGGAAACTACACTGGATACATTTTGGTCTTAAAAATGTGTTAATCAGCTTATAGAGCAACTGGTTCACCTTTTTATTTGTGTATCATTTTCTGTGTAGTGCAAAATCAACAACGGGATGTTTCTTGATAGTTATTCCTGAATTTCCAACTCTGTTTATGTACCAAACTGTACACAAGCACCAAGTGGCATGTTTTTGCTGTTATTCACAACATGTAGGTATCACCTCTAAACAATTCTCTCCTTACCATAGAGACACTTAACAAAGTCATAATGAAATCTACTATACTGTAAATAATATAAACAACAAAAGATGCAACAGCGTCTCAAGTTAGGATTCAGTCCTGCACAAAAAAGGCTCAGTGTAAGGTGAAGCCGGTAAGAATGACAAAGACTGCGTGTTATGGACAAATTCATCTTGTTATGTTTGAAATTTGAGGGAGCACTGTTCTTGCATGTAAAAATTAAAAAATAAAAGATCAAACCACAAAAAAAGAACAGGCAGTCATGACATTTTCAAGTTTAAAATGACGGAAAAAATAAAGAAATATAACTCAATCTATCACAGCCACTTTGAGGGACAGACAGATTGATTCTCAAACGCTTATTTACTATTTGGTTAATTACATATTGTAAACATTTGTATTTTTTTTTCTTTTTAGAGGAAAAAAATTCAAGCTAGCTTATTTTTTTTCTTTATAGGCTCTATAACATTATCCTTAACAAATACAAACAAACAAACAAACAAACAAACAAAAAACATTGACAAACAAATCTATTAGCTTTTTAAAAAAGCATTTTAAAAACAAATAAACAAACAAACAAAAACTTCAGGCACCATAAAAATAACACTTTCTAATGCCAACACTGCTCTGTGTACAAAGATCATGAAGAGTTGAATCACGAACCTTTGTCAGGTTTTTACTTCCTTTCCCCATTCAGCGACCAAAGAGATCAGCCAAAGGAAGATACAGTGGTAAGATGGTTTGCTTTGTTACAGCATCAGGTTCCAATATGGGGCCAATCGCCTTGGCCTGCATCCTAAGTGTTTCTTTTGTGGTGCCACTTTTTAACACTGCCTCTACTCACAAAAACCAGAATCTTCCAAACTGACCGAACAGATTCCCAGCTTCAAGAAAGACTAAAACAAAAGTCTAATATTTAATAAATGCAAAGCAGTCAAGACTGCACTTAACATAGACTCAGCTCTGTAAATATTAACACATGTACATGAGCTTGCTTCATCCTCTGAACGCACCTTATAATTGAACCGATTACATGGAGGTCAACTGACTGTAACCACACAGTTCTGTTCTGCAGCCGATTAGTACAAATGCTTGCATTTCGATAAACTGCTCGGGTACAAAGCAGCCATGGAGCAAGCCTAAAAACATGTTCACATCAAAGCCCCTTTGTGATTTGATTCAACCACAATCCAAATCAGAATTTCATCATCCAAAAATATAGATATCTCAGTATATATATCTCAAAATATTTATTCTCTAGTATGTCATTCATTCTTCAAATCTTAATAGACATATATGTGTTTCTTTGTAGTCAGTGAAAGATGTGCTTTGTGTATGAGGCCATTTCAAGAAATATCATTTACAGTGCACCAAAGCGGCTGAAAAAATATTTAATTCCTTGAATAATCATTTGTTATATAGAAAAAAAGTTTCTCAAGAAGCTCTGACACAAATGCATATCTAAGAGATGAGCAGGATGAAAGCTTTGAGTTTCAGAGACACAAAGTCACCTTCTGTCAGTCTCGTGCCCGTCTCACTGTGTGACCAGGTTTCATTGCAACTGCAGTGGCATTGCTTCTAGCTACTAAACGCTTGTGATTAACATGTCAGATAACATGTCTAACATGTCAGTGCTTAACTACACTGCAGAACTGCTCATCTTAACAAGTGCAACATTTATAGATTTTTCTTGAAACACTGAACAAACTGTCAAAATGGAAGCAAACTGAAACTATCTTGAAGAGCGAGAAAAGGCTGTCACTTTCTCCTGGTGGCATCCAGCTATGCATTTAGTTTCATTTCCATGTAATGAGATGTTGACATACAGTATCTCTTTTCTATCGGCACTTGAGGACAATGGAGGTGAACAAAATTATGTTGATGCTTCTAAAAGCATTTAAAAATTACTTTCCCGAATTAGCGTTTTGGTTATTCTGGATAATCCACTGATCTTAACATTAACTGGGACTAATTAATTACAAAACAATAAAATAAAATAATAAATTAAATTAAATAAATACATTTTAAAGACTGATATCTCAAATAGAGCATGAATAGGGCTGCATACGTCTGTTCGACTCCAATGGGTGCTCCAGCCATCTAGCCTAAAGTTTGACCCATGTGCCCAAACCCGGCCTGAACCCTCGGGTACCGATGGGTCCCGTCAGGCTTGGTTTGTGTATCCACACTCTAAAACTCTCAGAAAGCAAACACGAGCTGCATGTTTGGATATCACCAGGAGTAATTGGCAATTGGGTGAACTGATCCTTTAGGGAAATTACTTGTCTTGTTAAGTTGGACAATTTTGCTGTCTACACACAAATTGCATAATGAGCCAGCAGCTCTTCTTAAAGTTGGTTTGAAAAGTATTACAGAGTTCATACAGTCCATTTAGAAAAACTAACTCTAGGATGAAAACATTGCAATTGTGTAAAAGCATCAGTTACATGACAATTGTGGACACAAAAACAACAAACACATATACTGTACACTGTGTCCTGACACCGCTCCTGATATATTGTATAGAAAGACTCTGAACCTATCAACTAAAAACACTGTCAACAACTGAGCTTCACCACTGTATGTTAGTTTATGGTTGTTGGGCATTAGACACACTAGTACAAGTCTGTAGAACAAAAAAAGTGCATTCACAAAAGTGTTGGTCCAACGAACTGGAGAATGGATGTGTCAGCGGTGGCCGATGACTCAACCACAAGGAAATGACTCTTAATACACCAAGAAACACTGCATGCATTAACTTGAGAGCTTATCCAACGAGCTTCAAACAACTGGACTGGGCCATGGATGTGTTCGGTTTACATTTCTATCATAGCATAGTTTTATTCAAAAAGTAACCTGACCAGAAAAAAAAAAAAAAAAAAAAAAAAAAAAAACCGGGCATGGTACGGCCGCCACCATAGAAAGAAGGAATATGTAACAATTCTATATCTAGCAACAGACACAAAACTAAAATCTGCCATCTTCTTATCTATAATATGCTCAAGATAACACACACACACACACACACACAACAGCTACACTCATCTGCCAGACACCTCTTTGTTTTGGACAAATGGCAAATGTGGCGGTGGCAGCGTCTTGGAGAGCAGCGCTCTGACGATGACAAGGAGAAAATGAGCTTGTAGTGGCGACTAAAGGCACTTCTATGCTTTCTCACACACAATTTTACAGCCCTCAAATCAGCAGCACCGCTGTCACCTCCCCTTTAAATCTTGGGATTTTCAACTTGTCGAGGAACAGCAGGTACAACTCACGATGCAGTACAACTGATTCATCCTGACTGGAATCAATATGATGGCGTGACTTAATCTTTTCCGTTTGGGTTTGGTTCATTTGAAAATGGAACTGGTCTGTTTGGGAAAATGTTGCTACCTGAATTTAACATTTCAAAACCCAGAAGTGATACTAGGCTAGAAAATATGTATTTGTTGGAAGCTTAAGTCTGTAGATGAAATGTATATCATTACCTCATAACTGGCTTCCAGGGCCATTTCATGTAGGTGAATAACTCATCTAAGAACAAAAACCTAAATTTCCAACCCTTTGCATCAAAAATAAAAATAAATCCAGAGGTCCAAACTTTAAAAACAGTGCACCTTTTTTTCAAAAGCTTTCTATTTCCAAAGACTTTTGACTCTTCTACAAAAATAATTCTCTCTAACAATCAGTCTATGTATAAGATACTTGACAGATTATTAATATTCATCCATCTCAAAAAATCATCTGTGTAAATCAGTCTGAAAAGCAACATCATATTAAACCTCTTTTCACTGACCACAGAGTAATAACTGAACAACACACCTCCACACAAATGAACTGTGCTGTGGAGGCGACACAGAGCAGAGTTGGTCCAGTCTTTACCTCAAGCCAAATGAATATAAGGAAAATGGGAAAAATTCACTGACCCAGTGCAGAACAGCGGGAGGGAGTTGATCTGTAAATCTAAAATGACTGTGTTGTGCATAGTACTACCACACGTCATACTATATATGCACTACAAAAAAGCATAACTGCCAAGTGAAAACTAAAGAAACAACCCAAATGAAGGACTCCATGCACGTTGTGCTGGTTAATCTCTTGGACCACGGAGGCTGTGCTGAATAGCTAAATGGCAACAAAAAAAAAAAACTGGTTCTTTTTTCTTGTTCTCGCTACATGAAATGACTTCCTTCATTTGGCTCATATTAGCTTGGATACTTGCATCCTTAAACAGAGTCTAAGAGCATAGCATATATTCTGAAAACACAAAGAAGCGCTGCAATGAAACTGTATAAAGTCACATACACTGACTGCATGTGTGTCTGAAATATACTGTACATGAGTTATATTACTGATTCTTTGTTTTTTTACATCAGTGTTCTACAGCTCTGTGAGTCAAGCGTCTGACGAAATTAACGGTCAGGCGCAAGTGGCAAGAAAGTACCACAAGTAAATCTGCATTAAAAAACAACAATAAACATCTGCTAGGACACTGTACTGCTACAACAGTCTAATCTAGCTAGAGATGAAGTAAATACAGTACTGAAAACACAATAATCACATAGGTTGATGCTCTGCAAGTGTCTTTAGCATACAGAAAAGAAGACACGCAAAAGGAGCACTAACAGTTATGCCTTAAGTCAATGGCTACAGGTGCTACAGTATTAAAGAGGATGAAAACAGGAGACGTGTTTGATGCAGGAGTCTTTCCACAATTTCCATTTAGAAGGAAACCTGAATCATGTTGAACTGCATTTATCAGTGTACCTCTCCATCTAGTGTATTGTGACTAACTTCTCTATTCACAATATACCAAAAATGTACCATGCATTCCTATCCTGTAACACAGTATCTACTGTACCTCGTCAGTTCAACAGGAGGCCCACTGATAGAGAGCAACAAGCCAAAGCAGGTGGACATAAAGATCAATCCATAAAAAAATACCTTTTTTTAAAGCTGTAGTTTTGTCAATGTCGACAGCTGTTCACTCCATCCTTCCTTCTCTTCCTCCATTCAACCTCGATGTGCCCCCTTGTTCTACTGTAGTGACACAGGCTTGTGGTCATTCAAAGCTATTACAATGGCACTTGAACAATCCATCTTTTTACAGCCCTTCAAACCCCAAGGCTCCATTGACTATCCCCACCCCCCAACCCCCACCCCAGGTCCTCGGCTTCTCTGCACCTTCAGGTGTGAAACGAGCAGCCTGGTTCAGCCAAGCCAGTCCTTTCAGCAGATGACAGCTCAGGCTTTTGTCTATGGAGAGTTTGCAGGCAGTCTGGGGATGACAGATCGGGCCTTTGTCTAAGGACAGTCCTCATCAGTTCAAGGCAATTAAAAAAAAAAAAAAAGTGCCTCCTGTAACTCTTTACCATTGTCGCACCATCTGGTCTCTCCACTTCTTCTCCATGATAATGAAAATAATATTTTTGTGTGCTTATTTTGCCTTCCTTTAACACACTTAGCCTGTTTTTTTCCTCTGTATCAAAGATTTCTTGTAAATTTCTTACACTTTTTTCATACCTGACACTGTACAGTCATGGCTGGCTAATGCGACACTCTCCTCAAGTTAAAACTCACTGCATCAGCCAGGCTAGCTGTACAGTGTTGAGCTGTGCTAGCAGTGTGCTTGTTTTAAAGCCATGCTGTTAGCAAAGAGTGCTCTCCGCTGGACTGGGGTCAGTGGGGGAAGTTAGCACCGGCCTCCATCCAAAAATGTAAAGATTTTTTTTAGTTGCCAGTTTAAAGACATGAGCAAGCATTGTTCAGAGGTTTGTTTTTCCCAATGCATACGAGTGAAAATTTGGTTTCTCCACCCTGGATGGCATCCTACACTACTGGTGGATAATTCATCTGGGGTGCTGGTTCTGAGAGCGGGCCAGCACCGGGTAGGCTAGATTTACATTCAACTGGTCATTGTGTTGGACCAAAGAGACGTTTTTGTAGTGGAGCACTAGGTCTTTGAGGGACGAGTACAGATTGTAGGGCTCAGCAAATCCATAGCCTGTGGTTGTCTTGTAGATGACGCAGTGCTTGGTGTCACCTTCAGCACTGGAAAGAAGAACAGAGATCATGTTTACAGACACTGGGCAATCGGATCACAAGCGGACAGCGCTCGTGTTTCAAATTTCCAAAAGAAAGTAGGCCCACCCTCCTCCTTGTAGAAATCTAACGCTTGTCTTCTTCTTCTTCAGTTAGGGAGACTACTGTCGCTTGTTTGGTAACAAACTAACGTAATAATGGGCTTTCAATATTTAAGTGGAAGAGTCGCAGCAGTAGCAAAATCTGAACACAAGTGGTCAGCTGGCCACCTTGGAGACACATACAGTATATTGACAATGAACAGTGATGTGTCTCAGTGATCCAGCCACTTGTGTCTGGATCACTGTGACACATTTTAATACCAAATCTAAATAGGGCCCATGTCTTTTTACTTAATGAGACTGCTGTCATGGGCAAATGCAGGGCTCACTGCCTTTTTATTGAGAGGTTTCTCCCTGAGTGATGGTGGACTGTAACAGAAAAATGTCAAGTTATAAAGTCTAGCGCATGGCCCCAAATAAAACAGCAAACTGTCAATTTTACTGTCTTTTGTGTGGGTTAAACAGACAAAGTAAGTTTTCATTAATGAGTTTTAGAGGTGCTGCTGCTGTTGGTGGACTTTCTCTTAGCTTATCTTAGCTAAGCTAACCAGCTTCAGGGTGTAGGCTTAATATAATATTCTAATTCTCCACTGGATAGTGGAAATGTTTGTTTCCCAAAAATGTTGGACCCTTTAGGACATGACAAGAAACCCTAAGTAAAGAATTAGTATTTTACAAGGTGCTCAGAGTTAAAAATGCTCTTCTGTCAAAATGATAAGGTCTGTGTGTATGACAAAATACATTATTGTTATACAAAATGTAAAATGAATGAGTTATGTGAGTTTTGGGCAGATTTTCCCCCTTAGAAACAGTAGGAAGGCAGACTTACACTACAGAACAGGCATAGGAGCCCTTCTGTGATTGGCTCTCTCGGATGAGGAAGGTTCCGTCACATTTGCCTCTCAGCATTTCCTCGGCCTGGGTGCGTTTGACATCACCCACATACCAGGTGCACTCATCATGGTGGGGTAAGTCCTCATCCTCCTCCAGTGAGTAGGAGCTGAAAAGGTTGCAGCAAACACTGAAGCATGTTTCATGAACAACCATGAACAAAAGGACGAGCTCCAACCATCAAGCAAAACTACAGCTGGAGATACTGCAGCACCTAGCCATGACAACACAAGCTGCTGAGCTGTTACTTCATCTCATACACTTACTCATCAGCATCATTCTTTATGCCCAGCCATTCATTGATCTTCTTCTGCCTTGTCCCCTTCTGTGTCAACCATCTGCAAAGTCAGAACACTGCCGACTTAGTGCTGACAGACATGTGTGTGTTAAAGTTAGTGTGAGCGTGTGAGCATGTATTTCAATCATGGACGAAACTTTTAACTCATTCTCCTTACATTAAATACTGGTTTCTGATCTTGCGGAGCTGAATGAGATCTGGCTTGAGGCTGTTCATCTTCTTGTCAATCTCTCTGTTGTCAGAGACCTGATGTCTCAGGTCCTGCTCCAGCTTTCGCTTACTGTCATGGATCTCCTTCACTCGAGAGTTCAATCGCTCAGAGTTGCTCTGAATCCTGATTTGAGAGAATAATAAAATTATATGAAATAAAAACAATATAACAAAATGCAGTTCCAGTGGAACAGCTTACTTCAGCTTTACGGTTCAGTAAAACAAATTCCATTCATCTACCTGGCTTGGGTTTATTAAGATTATAAAGAATCGCCTGCAGGCCAACAAACATACTTTTGAACCTCCTTTTCGTTGCCTTCGCGCTGGAATCGCTCCAAAGACTCTCTGCTGTAGCGCTCCTGAGTCTCACACTGCTCCTCAAAGATCTTGATGGTCTCATTGAAGGCCTCAATGGCTGTGCGCTTCATCTGCAGCTCCTGTGGAAAAAAGGGAGAGAGACACAGTGTGAGTGTCCATTGCATGTCTGCCTGTTTTACATTCAATCTGAAGCTGCTGAATCACACATTCCATTTTTTCCTTCCTAAGATGAAACTCTAGTCAAGGCACTCTGACAGAGAAGTGAATGCATCATGTCTTAAACAAATGTCCATTCACAATGCATACTCTATCTACACACTACTACTACTGTACCAACGTTTCCGTACCCATAATTACGGTTTCCTGACTGGTAAAATGAATTATAAAACAGAAAAAGAAAATGATAAATTCAAAACTTGCCAGTCAAAATGTCTGGTAATAATGCTTACATTTATGAGAGGGGCATCACTCTGCAGATTTGAATCAAAAGGCTCCAAAGTCATCTGGACAACAATTATGCATGTGGTGGACTTTGGAAAGACTCAGTAGAAAGGCCACACAATGAACAAGCTTGGTTTTGGGGTTTTACTCTAATATATTTGGGCATATACTGAACTTTTTCATGTGCTTTCATATTGTTTATGTGCTCACACTGTTTTAATCGTTGTCTGCTTGTGTCGTGCACACACTCATAAAGCAACCTGTCGCTTTTACTAATATTTTTCCTGTTTTCTTGTATTTCTTTGAACATATTGTAATAACAGTTGTCACATACGCATGTTTAGATCATTCCAGTTTATTTATATTGAAATTTTCTATTATTACTGCCTTTGTCGTCTCTATAACTAGATAATTAATGTTTCATCTTAGCCTCAGGACTTAAAAAACAAACTTTGCAAAGTATGCTTCATAATACTGTACAATGTATTCCGTTTGTGTGTGTTTATGTGTCCATGTGACTTGAACTCGTACCTGTGAGGTGCGCGTGTATTCTTCATATAAAGAGTCGTACTCGCGGCTCTTCTCTTGGTACTGTTCATGATAGACCTTCAGCTGCTCGCCCACCTCCTCTATGCTGTTCTCCTTCACCAACTGAGTCGTGCAAAAAACAAGGAAAACCATATCATCACTTTGATGAATAAGGCACAATTCAAGTTAAATGTGTTTGTTATTCATAAGAATTTCTACTTTAATTCAAACAGGTTTGCTGAGAGGCTGCTTGTAACTGACCTGGACTATAGGGCGTTTATGAAGTGAAACGTGACTACTCATCAATCAACACACTACAACATAATCTGCAGCATTACCAACCTGCTGATATTTGGAAACAGGGTACAGAAGCTTGGTGTCCAGCTTGGCATTGTACTGGGCCAGAGATTCGTGCCGGTAGTGATTGATGAGCTCTACTACAGACACGAAGGTAAGAGGCTCTGAGAAGCCATACCTCCCGTCTTGGTGGTAAATCTTTATGAGCTTGTTGTTCCCCCCTTTCCTGCAGGGGGAGCCAGGAGCCCAGTGAGGATGAAACCCAGTGTAGGAAATAGCAATGGCAACACTGCAGACAAGAAACCTTGAACCAGAAGGTGTAACTTTACCTGAGGGTGAGCGTGTACTCGCCCTCCAGTTTACTCGAAGCATCCCGAACCAGAAAGGTGCCATCTGGAGTGTCTCGCAGCTTCTCGTTCACCTCCTCTCTGCAAATTTGATGACAAGCAGGATTTACCTCATGAACGCTAACCATGATCAGCTGCAAGATAATGGCACAATTTCCACATTTATAAACAGATATAATGAGGAAGAGTGATTTCTGAAAAATAAACATATCAAGTGGTTCCACCATTTAACAAACTGAGACTTCGATATATATGGTAACTGGTGACTGAAATGCTGAATTTCCTTCAGAAAAGCAACATTCTACTTTCATAATTCACCTAGAGATTTCTCCCCAGTACCACTCAGCATCATTCAGCAGGCTGGATGTGTCTGTCAGGGCTGATGGTGAAATCTTCGACTTGACTGGCTTTGCTGGAAGAACTGGAAACAGACACACACATACATACAGAAATAAAATGACTTAAACCTGTCACTTAGCACATGAACTCCTGGAGAGTACCTACAAGTATAAAGTTGTCTGTAAGAAACTTCTTGGAAGAATGAACGTTTGGTGTATTAGAGCTAATGTAGCTGTTTTATTGCGTACTAATTAAAGTGTCTATGTGCTGTGATACAAACATAGCTCTAAGGAACCATAATGAAAAATAACGCACCTGGAGGAGTGAGGTCTTGCTCTGTGGTTCTCTCTATCAACAGCCTCTCCACCACATGGGCAGGGAACTCCTCATCCAGTGGCAGCCTACAAAATCAATCAATCAGTCGAGGCTTTTAACGTCACAGTGGCTGAACGACAATAAACTCTAGATTTACTACAGCAGCCTAACACTTCACAGCAGAGTTTACCAAGTGGTGGAATGGCCTGGTCGTATCAGCAGCGGTCCGAAGATCTTTCCCAGCGTGTGCGTGTCCAGGCCGTTGTTGGCCTGCGCCTGGGTGACCTTGGCCAGGTGTGTGAGGAGGTACTGCAGGGTGAGACGGTGGTGCAGAGGGATGGCATTGGAGCTCTCGAGGACCTGGCTTACCTCTCTGTCATGGCTACCAGCTACAGCACCGTCTGAAAGAGGGAGTCAAATAACCATGAAGGGGATCTATAGATCAAACTACTGTGTCACACTGAACAATGTTGTGTACACTTTTATCTGACTTCACAGCTTGAGAAAAATCTGAAGACTGTCTTTGATCCTTACATCTATTGCACTGTTTGGTATTTTTCAAGAAGTTCAAGAGGGTCAATTTATGCTTCTGCAGTATATATCTGATATCAACTCATGGTGTCCTTTGTGCAGAGAAGATTCAGCTGAGTTCGCAGATGACACAACGGTCATCAGTCTCTGAGATGGTGACAAGTCAGCCTAAAAACAGGAGGTTGAACAGCTGGTCCTGTGGACTGGTCACAACAACCTGGAGCTGCACGCACTCAGAACAGTGGAGATGACAGTGGACTTTAGGGAAAGCAAGCACCATACTCAGCAGCACTGTCTTATCAGTAGAGTGCTTCATGTTCATGGGCTCCACTGTCTCCCAGGACCTGAAGTGGATGTCCAACATCAGCAGCATCACCAGTCTCAGCTTGTTTACTTGGCTACTCATTGTCTTACAGAAGAACATTGTACACACACATTGAGAGTCACTGTACTGGAGTCAAACTCATCGTGTGTCCAACACACCTGGCCAATAAAGCTGATTCTGATATTAAATCGTAACCCCTGTATCGCGATATGTATTGTATTGCCAGAGTTCTGACAACACACAGCCCTAACAATTAATGAAAAAAAGACAGATGGCAACATGTTCACTCTGATAAACATCCTACTTCAAGCAAGTCTCAATCCTCAGAAAGTTCTTTTCATGCTGTACCAGCAAAAACTAGAAGTAGTAAGTAAATGAATCTATAATCTGTGATGTAAAACCTCTATTAATGATATATTATCAAGTCAATAAAGATGACGCCGCTCCTTATGGGTGTTCAGTCAATAAAAGCATCAGCTTTAACCACTTCCTCATGCAATGAGACCTACTGTACCTGCTGACTGCTGTAGGACCTGCTGCTGCAGTGTGACAGCAGCCTGAAGGTAGGGGTAAAGAGGGGCTGGAATGACAGGTGACGGGAGGTCTTCCAGGTAGTGCAAGACACACTCAGATAGGTAACCCACATCTTTCGGACCCATGTCACTTTCTGGACCACAAAGGGAAATGCAAAGGCTTTTAAATGCAACTTATGACAAGAAAAAAAAAAATCAATGTACCAGACTGAAATCTGGTAAGACATGTTATTCTGCTGACTGTGATGGGTTTCATTTAGGCTGAGGAACTCTTTAAAGATAATGATGCAGGGTTATACCAGGTAGACAAGACAGTTAAGTGGAGCTAAAGAATGTTCAACACCGATCAGCCATAATATTATGACCACCTGCCTAAAACTGTCAGTGTGACAGTTGGTTGCAAATTAGGAGGCACAGCTGAAACACAACATTCATGGTTCAAAAACAATCCTAATGTATCCATGAAATCCAGTTTAGCATCAACATAACTCACCGGAGCTCAGGCCGCACTCTGTGCTGTCAGAAACTGAGGAGCTATTTGTCCTGTACAGTGTCTTGAAGTCCAGACCTGAGAAAGACAGACAAAGGTAAGTTGATTGGAAACCTAGTCCCCCCACCCCTCCCAAAAAAAAAACAACTGAACAGTCAAGTAGAGCAAAGTAAGACAAGAGAAGGATAAGAAGGGAAATGTAAAGTAGCAACAGCACATTTTACCAATAGAAAACAAATATTCATAAAATCGAATGCACATGTAGCCCCACACTGCAGCCAGAGGCTCGCTCTAATCTGACTCTGTCTGCCTCGTAGATAATAAATTAATATAATAAAAATACTGGACATTCAGTACAGGTTTTTAATTTGCAGCTGGACAATATCAGTTTGTAAGCAACAACTTGTATGTGATGCGGCCCTTGGCCAAATAAAACTACTGGGGAACATCCTAACAGGTCCGCTGAGTGTTTTAAGGTGCTTCTTCAAAGGTTTTTGTACAAGCAACAGTTACAAGAGCAGAGCCAACACATGTTCCCGTATTAAGCATTTCTGTTTGTGGAAAATTTTTTAGTCACACGGCATAGAAAGTAAACCTGAATTTCTTTTCAAGATGTTGAGAGAAAGATTTCAGCCGTCCTGTGAAAATGTCCCTGAAGAAAACATTTAACTCTGAATGACTACATTGAAAAAAAAAAAAAAACATTTAGAAACACAGGGTCTAGACAGCTTGAATCTAAGAGGCAGTTCCCTGAGACAAGCCAGTCTCTCAGGTAGTTGTGAAAACCACAGCATACAGTCAGAGTGTGTGTGCACCCAGCAGTGGGAAGTAATTCAATTTTACTGCTACATTACAATATTTACTTTCAGAGACAGACCTTCTAGTAAATATCGCTGTTGAAATGTTTACCAGAATAAGAAGAATTTTGGATGATCTCTCTCAGTATGTTGTGTTTTAGCCTTGAAAAAAACAAATATTTCAAAACTTCTCTCTATAATTCGCCTCCTCTCGAGTTCTTCAGTTGTGATCAACACAGATTTCATTAGATTAAATAAGGAATAATGGCTTCTACCTGAACTATACTTCATGAGAAGACTGAACCACAATGCTACACAACAAACAAATTACTTTCCAGATGTATACACACTGGAACAATTAGATTAAGTATATTTGAAAAAGACAGAGAAAACATTTTGCTCTGTCTTTGTTGAATCAGTAGTGTCATTCTGCAGTCAGCACACATACTGCAGTACCTCCTGTGTAAAATGATATGTATGATGATTCCTTGTAGTGTAACTGCAGAATCGGTGTTCTATAAAGATGAATATTAAGTACAAGGACTTGGGACACAGGTGAAGTGTTCCTGATATTGTACACACCGTGAGTAGGTCTGAGTTTTAAACCCTGAATATTGCAGAGCTGAAACAACTGCTCAATAAATGAGTCAATTTGACAATACACAAAAAAATCATCTGGAGCTATTTTTATAATTGCTAAATATTGACCAGTCCCTGTTGATTTGCTGCTTGTCACCGTCTCCCTGTTATCTGTTTTTTGGGCTGTTGGCCAGAAAAAAAACAGCAATTTGAAAATGTTATATTAGGTTCAAAACTATGATTCACAATCTTTTACATTTTGTGAATAAAAAATCATTTTACTGCTAATAAAATCTGCTCAATAATAGATGGCCATAGTAATAATTAGTGGTGTTAACTAGCTGTCCTTGTGTGAGTGACAGACTGACAGAGAAAGCAAAAAGGATGACAGAAGTCCCACTGAGTGCTACTTGTTAATAACAGTGTGAATCAGACCCAATGTGCAACTCTCAGAACAATGAGAACTGCTCCAACTTAAACCACATTAAACTTCATTCAATGCAGCAAATCTCTGTCAAGTCTGGAACCAACTGAGGATTACAGAGAGTGTGCACTTCTGCATCTGTGTGACTGCCTGACTGGAACCACATGTCTATACGTCGACACTTGTGCAAATGCTGGCATGAACACAAGAGGCAGATGGCGGGAGGGAGACAAGCACACAGAAAATCAGCAAGACAGACGACAGGCAAATACGCTGGCCGCTTGACACGGATATACCTCTCTTCTCTATGGCTTGGATCAGGCTGACGAGGGCAGGGGGGGCTGTCTCTGGTGGTGTGAACTGCTCGCTCAGGTCCGGCACAGAAACAGCTGAAACAACAACACAAATCACTGTTACGCTTCTGGTACAAAGCCTACGAAAGACCAGCAGCACTGACAAGGGCACAGTTAACTAGAAGCAGCTGCAGATACAGAGCATGTACAGTGTTGCGAGTATACAGAAAATCTATGAGGAACATAATAAAATATGAACAGGTGGAGTTTAGTATACATTTCACAAGAAGTACACTGAATATTCTGTGTTCCACCTACCTGCACAATACTCTAATAAAAACCTCCTAAAATGAGCTGAAACTGAGAAAACCTGAATCTTTATGATGCATGTCACTGTGGCGGTTTGTAGTCTGGAAGTCTAGCCGATGAGGCGTATGATAATAACACCAGAACAATTTAGCAAACACACAAAAGAATGAAAAGAGCTTTTATTCAGAAGAGTGAAAATAAAAAAAGACCACAGGGGTAGAAAAAAAACAGACTGCTGATGGCGAGCAAAAACTTTATCTACTTTACAACTCCCCATAGACTAAATCAAACATCTTTTCAGTGCAAGAGAAAGTGAAAAGGAGAAAGCAAGAGGGAAAAAGAGAGATCCCATTTCCCTCCCTCCCTCTTCTCTTTCCCCCCCTTTTCTTTTCTCCCGTCTTGCTGTCTCTCCTCCCCTCCGCTCCGTCCTGCTCCGTGTTTCGCCTTAGCTCTTCGCGTGAGTGGAGCACAATAAAGGATTTAATCAAAACTCCTGAACAAGCAAAAGGCCGATGGCAGTGTGCCAGGCCCGGCCAGGGCAGGCAGGCGCAACACCTCCTGTTTGGCCCCCAGACCAAGACGGGGGGCAGGGCAGGCCTGGCCTGCATAGGGCTTGCCAGTAGGCTCCTGTTCCTGGCATGACTTGGTTAAACCACTGATTATTAATTTGGGGAGTTCAGACAAGAAATGCCGCGTCAGCACATTCTCCTCTCTCTCTCTCTCTCTCTCTCTCTCTCTCTCTCGCCCTCACTCTCTCTCTGTTTCTCTGTTCTTTGCTCATTTTTGCTGGACTGTCTCTCTTGCTCCCTTTTACCGATTCCAACAGCCGTTCTCTTTTTTCCCTTCCTCTCCGTCTCTCTTGCTGGTTAAACATGGAAACTTTGCCTGGAAGTGTTTCCAGCTCTCTACCAAGCCAGACAGACCTCTACCTATTCCTTATACATACTGGCCATTTTGGCTTTCTATATACTATGCATGTTCACTGCAAAGTAAACATCAATATACATAGGTTGCTAATGCCAAACAAAACAAATCATCTCTCTGACTTGGCTCCTCTATCAGCAGGATGATGTACGTAGTTTATCAGTGTATAACAAAACTAAAGTTGCTTCAACCATTACACACAGATCCTTATGCCTGTTTTCCAATCCACCACTAATGAGTTTAGGGACACATTGTGCTTAAAAGAAACTCTTGTCCTTCTGCAATCTCTTGTGACCTGGTGAGTTGGAGTTCAGACCAAAAATGGCAACAGGGCTGCACTGGTGGGGGAGTGGGAAGATAAAATACAATACAGGAAGTCCAACTGTGGCACAGTTTTAACCGAATTTTGAGAGAATCTACAAAAGAAAAACATGAGTCTACCGTCGCTATGTGAAATGTAAGAGGTAGCTCGTTGAGATAAACAGCTAGTGGTGCATTTTTCCACTCGGGTGCCATTAAATCACTGTGATCTCCTCATCGCTCCACACAGATCTGTTTTGGTCTGCTGCTATTTTTCGTCTGTTCAGTGGACGTTTAAGTCACATGCTTCATGTACGTCAAGCTTTTGCTTCAGAAAGCAGAGGCTATTAATTATTCAGTAAAAGAGAGCAGAAGCCAGTGCTCCTGGTTTTAGACAGGCTGCAGGCACTTTAAACATGTAAATCACATTTAACAGGCAAAGAAGTAAGAATACAAGGTGTTAAATCAGTGTATTCCCTGAGTTTGAGAGGGAAGTGGGAAAATACAATAACTGCCCTATGCTCACCAAAAAGTATACAAAAACACTTTATTTCACTGTATGTTTCTCTTCATTAAGAAAGAAAAAGGTGCAAACTTTTTTGCAAAGGATTGTTTTCTCTCATTCGTGCAAATGCAGTGGCAGCCCTGCAGTCTTCTCAGGATTTTGGAAAGGTATGGAAAAAGAGAGACAGAGAGAGAGAATTTGCTAGTCAATTAAAACCACTTCCTTGGCTGACTGCAGATGGGAAGACAGGCATATGACTTGACATGCCCCGAGACATAGCCAATGGGAGCAACAGAGAAACTGAGAAAGAGGGAGAGATAAAGAGAGAAACACACGACAGACGGTGCAGTTTTGCACTTTTGTGTTTTAACAAGTGAGCCCTGGTGCATTTGAGGCCTTCTCATTAATGTTTTCCTTTCTAAGAGATTCTTACAGACCTTGATAAAGTCATTACAGCAAATAAATCAAATGAAATCATTCAGCAGCACCTATACGTGCTTAGTGATGTGAGCTCCCCTACACATGAAGCTGAAAGAGTGAAGGTGGGACAAATGCTGCAGATCCTGTCTTTTGTGTGTTTACACTGACTTGTAAGCAACACATAGGCAAAAGCAGCCTGGATGATGCAAAGCTATGTGAAGCTAAATATTTGCTCTGTATCCTCTGTATCAGTGTGCTTATGTAACAGGTAGCTGGCTCTGCTGCATTCTCTCTCTCTCAGAGCTCTGTGTCAGAAACCAAAGCTTCTCCAAGCGCAGAGATACGGCACGACTTCATTCACAGGCTGTTTCACTGGTTAAATCAAACCCCAGCAGTTTGCTGCCTTCCACTGCAGCACTCCAACATGCTGACTTTATGTGAACATCTTATTAAACAGTACTGGAATTGGGACATGCTACTGCTTCTACCTGTTCAACAGATTATTCATTCGTTACTTTCTTTCTGACAAAACACTGTCAAATTTATAATTACCCAAATGATAATACAAATCAAGCCACTGAAAAAGTATTTTTACTGTATAACTAGTCATTTAAAAAAGGAATAAAATATGAATGTATGTATAACAGTAAGTTGAGTTGTCACATGCCATGATGAACTGAATTATATGAGAAATCCATTTATGTTTTACAAAATTAAAAAGGAATAGTTTGCTACTTAAAATATTTCCACTCCATTCTATTTATTATCCATGTTATTTTATTCCACTGTTTACTCCAAACATGTGGTTCTTAAATGTGGTGGTAACACGGTCAGTTGGTGTCTGGCTCATGGATGGTTTGTCACAATGTGTATGCTGCGGGTCACGTTTCACTGCTACGTGTCTTCACTGCATCCCAACTATGTAGACAGTCAATGCATCATGACTGGGCTCACCATCCATTCCTCTGTCACAACATGTTTCCAAGTTACACGTGTACAAGTCAGCCCCTGCAATAATGTTAAACACAGGTGATCACTACACAACATTATACAAAGAAATCTTTTAAGTTTTAGTCAAAAATGTAGAAAATGTATATTTAGTCAAGTAGTACAAAACTATTTTGCACTACATGTCAATTTATACACACAAATACATTTTATGTTGAAAAGGGTCCCAGTATCACTAGGCTCACAATACCATAGAGAAAATGTGTGTAGGTTACTTAAAGAGCCCGTGTCATGCTTTTCCTTGTTTTATGACTTATCTACAATGTTACAACGGTGAATTCTCATCTTAGACGTGACCTAAAGCTCAAATATTAGGTGTACGTATGTTCTAGTACTTTTATGCAGAAACAGCTGGGTTTATACACATCTCGCAAACTCTTGCTCACAAGAATTTTTTTCTAACAAAATTAAGTATTACATGATAGTTTATGGATCTCCTTGCATGGGCATAATCCAGGCCTTTGTGATCTTGCCCAACATCCACCGGTGCCGTTGTAAAAGCAGAATTCTTTCATTCGTTGTGCTGCCCACATGCGACACCAGCAACAGGAGTTGTGTGCGCTCACAAACTATCTTCTTGTTTTAAGGAAGAGGCTTTTTGGCTCTGTGATTCTGATTCTGATCCAGAGAGCAAACCTGCTGTGGAGGTACTGCGCCATCTCCCATGTATACAATCATAAGAAAAACCAGTGGCACTGCTTGCATTTTCCAGGTTTTCTGCATAAACTGGTCATGAATTGTGATTTGATCTTCATCAAAGTCACAAATATCAACAAACACTATATTTCTAAATCTGACAAAACGCAAACAGTCATGAACTTTCATGTCTCTACTGAACACACCCATTACACATGTAAAGTGATGGTAGAAAAAGTAATGGAAACTGTGTTTTAAAATTGGCTGAACCACATTTTGCAGCAATATCCTCAAGGAAGAACTTCCTGTAGCTGTGGTGTGCTGCAATGTTGTTTTTGGAGAGCAATGGCTTCCTCCGTGGCATCCTGCCATGGATACCATGCCTGTTCAATATTTTGCATATGGTTGACTTATGAACAGAGATGTTAACCAACTCCAATGAATCCTTCAAGTCTTTGCTGTTACACTAAGGTCCTTTTTTTTTTTTTTTACCTCACTGAGCATTCTGCATTATGCCTTTGGAGTGATCCTGGTGGGGTAACCACTTCTATGGAGAGTAGCCACAGTACCATATTGCCTCCATTTATAGACAGAATGTCTAATTGTGGACTGTTGAATGTCTAAAGTCTTTGAGATGACTCTGTAACCCTTTCCAGCTACAAGTAGATCAACAACTCATGTTCATAGGTCTTCTGAATTCTCCCTTTTGAGAGGCCTGGCTCATATCAGCTGATGCTGCTTGTGAACAGCACACTGACACTGTTTCAGTGTTTTATAAGTTAAGGAAGTTTTAAACCACACATCCATTCTCGTTTCACCAATTAGACTCCAAGTTTGCTAACAGCTGACTCCAGTTGATGTTTAGTGACATCAGAAGCCTGGTGTTACCATTACGTTTTCCACCATCACTTTGTATGTTTAATGGGTGTGTTCAATAAAGACATGAAAGATCATGACTATTTGTGTTTTATCAGCTTAGAAATATTGTGTCTTG